CCGCCACCCGGGCAAAATTCAAAATTAATTCCTACCAAACTGAAAATATTTAATGTGTCCCGCGCGCTCATGTGATGACCTTGCCTTATACCCTTATAGGCAGTTAAGACCGCCATAAGACACTTGCCAGAGAAAAAAGAGTCTCTATATCTACGTCAAAAAGTACAAATAACTGCGCCCACGGGTGTTCGTAGTAATCGTGGTGAGGATTTTGAGAATTTAATGGTCTATGGGCGGTATCGGCATCAATAATGAACTTTGATTCCGCGGATGAGTCCGAAATCATGCTCAACAGATTTAAAGGAACCTAGCTGAATTATGAAAAATGCCTGATTATTTTGTTATGTTCTTTTTCGTTGGTCAAAATGTATAATTCTTGTACTGTTGTCTTTTGATAAAAACCGTTCGTTCAGATCATGATCGAGACTACTAACACTCCCATAACTTAACTGTTGTAATACGCGTATACACTGTTTTATGCTTATCAGGAACTAACTTCCTCGATGTGCGCCCATACATAAGCGCTGTGGGGTTATCATTTTTCTGTGGTTAAAGAGGGCGCCACTGGTCCAGAATATTTTTTTTTCTCTCTTTCTCTATTTCTGTACATGTACTTATCCGATTATCGTGTTATCATTCTGCTTTTATCGACCTTTGGCTACGTGCGCTACTTTTTATGGAAAGATTAATTACATTTAATATCTACTTCTTTCTTTCAACCCTTTTCCAGCCCTGCCTCGCTGTGCATGCCGGTTGGTGTTGTAAATGGTGTGATCAAATGAGAAACTTTTTATAAAGGACATTAACAAAAAATAAGTCTTCTGTTGCCCCCTCTAAGGGACCGGCGACCAATGCCCCTCTTTTTGAAAATTTACTCGGAAAGTTTGATTAAAGCGAGGGTTTTCACGTCTTTGGGGGGAGATTTCTTTTTCCCATTCACTGCTTTGGGACAGCTTTCTCCCTCTGGCTGTGCTTTGCTCTTCAAATTTGTTACAACGCGTCCTTATTAGCTTAAATGTTTATTAGAACCCGAAATGGCACGGTCCATAGAAAAGGAGTGTGCCCTTTGCGTTGTTCGAATAGAATGTTGTGTTTTCATATTAGCTGGTTGTCAAATGTTTTTGCTGTTTTGGTGTTCTTAGTGTCTGTCATTCGGCGTAATTTTGGCTCCAGTTGGTGTATTGAATTGATAGCGTGGATAAACCTGGTTCGATTCCTTACTGGGTTTTCTTGAACCCGGATTATTTACAGCCCTCCACACCGACGTCTGTGGTGTACTGGTGAGGTGCTTCACCGTTGCACGCTGAGAATCTGCGCTCGATTCCCGTGTGGGGAAAATTTTCATCGAGTCTCTCCATCTTTCTGCTGGGACGTTGTATCCCTCTCCTCAGTCTGGGTTAGCCTTGACAGGCTGAGTCGAAGCAGCAGGCCTTTTAGTTTAAATTATAAAAAAAATTGTCTTGATGGGGCCGTAAAACAATTACAGTTATTTCAATCCATCTGCCTCACTAGGAAGCGCATGCTACTACATAGTTTGTCGTTTATCTTGGGCTTTGTTCGCAGACATGGTATCTCGTTGTACATGATCTATGTCCTCGACAGCTGGCTTTTGTCTGGCGTACACGAACTTTCATTTTTATATTTTAGGTTGTACTAAGATGAATGTCTCCTCGGCTCTTTTGTTCAATAGAGAATGTAGAATAGGGCTTTAGCAGCATCGTATTGTCGAGGACTTAGGTGAGATTTTGGTCGTTGGTGATTAATTAAATATGGCGAGGAAAAATACTTTTTTTTAGGGAAAGGGGGGGAGAAAGGGTAAGAGTCATAAAATGCTTCTTTAGTTGGTTCAGACTGAAATAGGGTTGTTGTTTCAGATATTATATTCCGAGAGGTAGTTTCGCAGACGAAGATGGTGAAGGTATGCCTGAAATCAATAAGTCTCACGATTAAATGAGATGGTTATTGAAAACTCTATCCTTTACATGTACCAACCCGCAAGGATATTACGGGCAATTGCCCTGGAAGGACTTGAGATGCTTTCTAGAATGTCTTAGCTTGTCGTAAAATACAGTTAAGAAAATAAGAGACTTAGATACCGGCGTTATGGTTTGATAAATATCTTCTTGTATTTACAGAATTCGACAACAACTAGCCTCTCATCGGGAAAGTGATAAAATCCTGTTTATGTAGTGATGATGAATGAGGTCTCTTTACTCCATTTTTTTCCGGAAAGGTGGGGGGGGGGGGGGTGTAAAGATTTAGCCTTGTCTCGAAGTATAAATTTGGCAAAATTTACATACAATGACTGGAAAGCTGAGGTACTCATATTGAGACTGTTTTGTGAGGCCTTTTTTTGTGCTGATAACTAGCACAGATTTATAACATCGACTTTCTGTCGAAGCGAGCATGCACGACCCATCATTTTTTTAGACTGACGAGTGCCTTTGCTCTGGTGTGAGTGTGGGTGTTTTGTGTTTGTTTGTTTAGTTTTTACTAATCAGATCACTTTTATAGTCCACTAGTACATTTGTAAAGTTTTATTTGCGTTTTAAAAATGTTTTAGGGGGACTTGTGTAACCTATTGCAGATTGGAGCGCATGGGGTAACATTTTCTGTCTCTATTTTTGCTTCCATATACATATATATATATATCGACTGTCGCCTCACAGCTAGTCTCCTTTTCGCCGTTTCCCTCCCCTTTTTTTCCTTTTCCATACCCGAACCCTTCTATTCCCGTCCCCTATATGGCTGTGTTGAGAATGCCGCCTGTGTTTTTGCCCTCTCTCCCTGTGTGTGTCATGTCCCATCTGCTGTCTACAGAGTGAGCGTGTTCGGTCGTTGCTCTCGTCAGCTTCATCTGGAGGCGCCGCCGGACACAACGCTTTCTCCTCCTCGTCCCAGCATGATGGTGCTTGTCCTCCTTCCTCCTTTCCCTCCTCGCACGAAGGCCCGGGTGGGGGGCACACGGACACCCGCGGAACGCCCAGCACCTCCTACAGTGTTCTCTACCCCTACACACCCCCCATAGTGGATGGGGACGGGGACTCGTCTTCAACATCACCCGCCAGGGATGGAACCCGGGACAATCACGAACACGCGGGGTCGGGCGAGGAGGCGCCCAGAGTTGTGGACGTGCCGGTTGTGTACCGCGAGTACAGGTCTGTGGAGACTCACTACACTGAAGAACCTCTCACATCTGTCAACCCAGAGACTCCGCCCGGAGACCGTTACCATGACACTATAGATCACGCCGGGAACACCACTGCTTCGAACAATAACCATAGCAACAATAGCAATAGTAATAACAATTATAGTAATAGCATTTACACCAAAGAGCAAGACAGTGGTGATCGGAGTGGTGACGTTGCGACACATTCCAGTGGAGATAACGCTGTGAGGACAGGAGACAAGCTCATCAGAGGTGGCAAGTCCTCCCCCCAATCCGAGGATGAGAACAAAAACATTAAGAAGGTAACCCCTGGTCTGTCTTGTCTCACCACCACACGGTTTTATCCTGGCCTTGGGTTACAGTTACAGGGTAGCTTGTGGCGTTTGGGCAGAGAGGCGAAGAATTGTCGCTGGAATGAACTGAGTAGAATCAACCGCAGCCGCCGATATCTTATTTGAAGCTCCGACCTTTATTTTGTTATCTCTCCACTATATGTATACGTTTTTTTTTTTATCCCCATTCACATACCCTTTTCGTATGTTTCTCTAATGCTATAACTAAAACTAAAACCGTCTTATTTATATTTGCATATCTCTTACAGCACTGAAAAAAATGCAATAATATTACATTATTGTATTTTAAAATTGTTTATGCCTACTGCCCCCCTCCCCCTCCGGGGGCGGTGCCCGTGACTGAAGTGTCTTTAGGCCTTTCCCGAATGAAGGCATTAACTTGTTCTTATGCACAGTAGAATTGTAACTAGGCTGATTCAACAATGTCATGCTCATAACTGTGTCTGAACTGCAACCGGGAACTGTTGCCTTTTCTTTCGTAGTCTTTACTATTGTCATTTTTGTTCTACTTCTTTTGTATGTTTGTCACACTCTTGTGACCCGCTATTTCCGGGGTGCCTTGATAGTCGAAGCAGACTTTGTGCTTTTGAAGCTAGAGAGGTGAGCAGAGTGAGCCTGATTCCCTGTAAAGACCTTGGCGCTCATATGACCTTATACAGTTGTGAGCGCCGTAAAACCTCTACTAAAAAACTAAGCCTAATGTCTGCCGAGCTCTGACTGGCAAATAAATGTTATAGGATAAGCGACATAGGCCACAGCCACTCAATTATAAGCTTTAGGGTACGGCAAGGTCAGTGACCCATGGTCCACATCCCGGACACAGCACAGACACCGGCGAGGTTATAATGTGTTATTAAACTGGGGAGCGGGGATTTGGTATGTGGAGACAGTGAATAGTGAAGGCTGGCGATTGCTGTCTGGTGACACTAATATAATATATATTTTTAAGGGGGTAGGTGTTGGTAGCGAGTAATGCGCTGATGTAGATCCGTGTACGCGAAGACACACATGGGGAGAGAGAGGGAGAGGGAGAGGGAGAGAGAGA